GTAGGAAAATAAAGTTTGAAAAAAGGACATTAGAATGACGTTGGAATTGAAAGGAAACATAAATAATCATGACTTTACGTTTCACAATTAATGTAAAATTATTTTGATATTTAAAATTTATCGATCATATATTTATTATGGTAGCACTTCAATTTTTTATATTTAAATTATCGATCATATATTTATCATGGTCGCGCTTCAACATTTCCAACAAATTTTAAATTGCTTAAAACGAATATCTGTAACTTAAAATAATGAATCAAACGTTAAAAAAAAAAAAAAAAAAAACTGAGCCGAGCTGTAAAGCCATCGGCTCGGCTTGTGAACAGTACTGAAATCTGCCTCTTTTATATTTAGTTAGAAACTTGAATAATTATAGTATTTGGAATTTCATTTAAGATTAGCAGTCTTTAAAAAAAATGTAGAACTATGACAATTTTTTTTGAGTTAAATCTTGATTTTCATTCATAAGTTATCATAATCAAGTATCGTTACAAAGAAAGCGTGTGCACTTCCTAGCCAAACAAAGGACTGAAGTTGAAAATGGGGGAAAATAAAATAAAATAAAATCTTTTTTCATATTTTATATTTTGATTCCTAATATTTTCCGAGTATTTTATATTTGATATCCACACAATATCCATTTATTTATAGGAAAAGTTTAAAAAAAATTTCTTCCTAACTTAACAAAACTTATATTTCCTTTCCAGGATATATATAGTCGGTTTGGTCTTTTAGTCCAAATTGAATTTTTTCCCTCTAGGTTTTGGGCCCACTTTGATTACTAGAATTAAAATAACTAAATAATTTTATATTACAAGAACTATTGACTAACGAATAAAATCAGATTAACAGAGACAGATCATCAAAAAACTTAAGAATTTTGTTGTGTTTTTTACGCATTATGTAGCATGACTGTTTGAGTATGGAAAAATGATAAGTATGACACAATGAGCTTGTGAAAAGAGATTCTCGGTACTGTTACTTATTGGCAACATCATAGATTGAAGGGAATCGAGATATAATTATGAAATTATAACTTATCTTTTGATTTTTTTTTTTTAAGAAAACGAAAAATATAAACATGTAAACGGGTTGACTCGGTTCGATTAATCAACGGGTTGATGCTTCAAATGACGGTTGAGTCGATCTACCATGGTTTCGTTTAAAAAGAAATAAAAAAAAAAAAACCAAACCAATTACAAGTGTCAAACCGACCTAAATCGACCCGAGTCGGTTCGATTAGATTGGTTTGGTCAATTTTTTAATTTTTTTGCTTAGGTCTAGAGATAGTAATCTATATAATGTATTGAAAAAGAATTTTGTATTTGAATGTCTAAATGTTAAAAACCAATGATATGTAGAACGAAAGCCTTTTAATTTTTGTACCACCTATATACATTGGTGGACACTCAGTGACGCATGGGGTGACGTGAAACCCCACCTTTTGGGCATTTATTTTTATTTTTATTTTTTTGACTATATCATAACATATGGAAGCCTTCCCCTCTCAGTGCGACTTTCTCCCTCACCCCTTTTACCAAAACTCTAACCCTTGTAATTCTTACAAATTTATCTATAATTTTTCCACAAATCACTATATCTACTACAAATTCCCACTTCTCAATCAAATTTCCAACTGATTAAAAATTAAAATTGGGTTTTTGCTACCAATTTGTTCTAAAACAACTGTAAAGTGATTATCATTATGTTACTATCGACCTCGTCTGTCACTACAATTCTGAAGCCACCTCCACTTGTTATGCCTTCAAACACAATCAATTTAAGTTATTTTACCTTTGTAAATTGAAATGTAATTAGTAGATCGAAATAGCAACTGATAATTTCAATTTTTTTTTTTTTGCTTATACCAAAACTCAAAGGGATGGAAAATGAGTTTGGATTACATTTCTAGTTATTTTCATTCTATCCTATTTACGTGCTTGAATGATTTTTGAATTTTATATATTGAATTGTGACAAATTGATTTGGAATAAGTTTGAAATGATTTGTGTCATATGGAGTGATTTTTGAGTTGTGTATATAGAATGACTCTGGAATGATTCTATCTAATTCAGCTTACATTTATTGAATTGTGTTTATTTTTATTGTTTACTACTATTGAATATTGATTATATATTTTTCCTTTAATTATATATTTAAACTATTTTCCTCAAGGGGTGTGTTTGAGCCACATTATTTTGAAAGAATGTATTTTGGAATAGTAAATTGATAGAAAATGTGTGGTTGAAAAAGAAGGAAAAATTATTGATATGATGGAAACTATTATTTTATTGAAAAATTTGTGGTTGAAAATGAGTAGAATAATGATAATGAAATTTTTTAATGTGGCTCAAATAGATGATTGAATTGTTTGTTTGTTTGTATGTATCAGTTATAGATAAATTATTTAAACGTAAATATGTGTGTTTTTTGAGTTTTCTTGTTTGAATGAATTCTTTGTATCAATTATGGAACTTTATCAAAGTATGAAAATGTGTAGAGAACAATTGTAATAAAATATCGAACATTTTTATATTTTCACAACATTTTGAAAGTTTTATCGTGCCTCTCTAATTTAAATTATTTGCGTAAGCCACTGCCTAGATACTAATACAGAAAATGTTTGGGCGTCGTTCTTTAATATTTATTTTATCCAAACTCATTTTTAATCATATTTTCTCAATAAAATAATTTAACGTAAATCCGAAACTTTTACTGTGTTTGGTTTGCTATTATCAATCTATTTTCAGTTTTGCAAACCATTGAAATGTGTTTGATATGATGTTTCTGAAAATATATGGTTAAACATACAATATAAAACTCAAAGTGCATTAATGACGTTTTAAGTGTTTTTAGTGAAAATTATGAAAACACTGAAAATACTTGAAACATGAAAAATAAGCGTTTAAATAAAAAAAATACAAAATTCTAACAAAAAAATTTAATTTCTTTTTCAAAAATGAAAATTTGGAAAAAAAAAAATTTAAAATTCTAAAACAATGAAAATTCTTAAAAATTTATTTGGAAAAATAAAAATAGTTTAAGCTCTTAATGATTATTTATATAAAAATTCAAAAAAAATATTTAAATGAACATAGATAAAAAAAATTCTCAATCCACATCATTTATTTTTATTTTTCTCTATTTTGAACTCTATTTATTATTTATTTTTATTTTACTTTTTTAGTGAGAAAAAATATTGTAAAATTCAACAACTCTAAAATGTATATATTACTTAATATCATATTAACATTGATCTATTTTTATTTTAATAATCAATTTTCATGAAATAAAATGTTATAAGTCAATTTTTTTCAAAATTTTAAACCAAACATGTTTTCTAATTTTCCGTTTTGAGAAATATTTTTTCCAAATGACAAATCTTAGTAATTTTAAAATAGAAAACTTAAAACTCAAAACTGAAAATTGAAATACGAACCAAACGGTAGTCAAAGATGAACTAAATATCATTTCTTGTTTAGATTTTCTACCATATTAGATATCTTTTTTTTTTCTCCCCTCTATCACTCCTTGACCTTGTATGTAAAGAAATTTTCGGTAATTTGTTTTACATTCTCGAACTATGTACGTGGCAACATTTTTATTAAAATATAACTTGTGGATCTTTCAAATATATAGATAAAAAGTGAATCGAAAGGTCGGTAAAATATTATTCAATTTATAAGCAATTATAAACTTTGCCAAACATTCACTAGTACGATTTAATCGAAGTGTTCAAAGGGCACTTTTGTCAATTTGTCAAACCACCACATCACACACTGTAGTCATTCCTTTAGCCATTTTTCTTTTCAGATTTTCTTGCATATTACATTGCATAATCTTTCTTACATTACCTTCTCTGCCAGTCAGTCTCTCTCTTCCTCCTCCCCTTTCTCAAACCTCTGCAACAAACCCTTACCTTAAACAACAAATTTGTGCAAATTACAGATGAATTCTACAATCCCATTTCTGGACCTTAATCTATATCCTGATCCCAGATCATCTCCTTCAACCACCACCTTAATTACACCAAAAATTGAGCCAAAACTTGAACACATAGATGAACCACCGCCACTTCCGCCGCCGCCAATCACCGCCAATTCACAATCTGACCTCCATCTCTCCATCCCGTCACCGTCAACTCCGTTTCCTTCTTCTTCGTCTGAACCCGATTTGTGCTCTGAATTTCACCGCATTTCCGAGCTCTTCCGCTCATCTTTTTCCCAGGGCGTTCAGAGGCACGGCCAGCTCTCTGTTCTCCCCGAGTCGGATCCCAATTATGGGGCTATCGTCCAAGTTGCAAACAATGACGCCCAGCTGTCGGCTGTTGTAATTTCGCCTAGGGGAACCCGCAAGTACCCTCAGCGCTCCTCTGAGCTAGTCCGGGTTACGGATCTTAAAGCTGATGACCATCGATACTTCCGGGACCTAATCCGGAGGTCCAGGATGCTCTTTGACTCCCTGCGTATATTTTCTACCTCAGAGGATGATAAACACCGTGATTATCTGGTCCCTCAGAAGAGGACAAGGGGAGATTTGAAGGCGGCTGCACTAATGAGGGATGCGGGTTTGTGGTTGAATCGCGATAAGAGGATTTTGGGCGATATCCCTGGTATAGCAATTGGCGATGTGTTCTTTTTTAGGATGGAGTTGGTTGTTGTCGGGTTGCACGGTCATCCTCAAGCTGGGATTGATTATGTTCCGGCCAGTCAGAGCTCTAACAGAGAACCGATAGCCACCAGCATTATTGTTTCTGGGGGTTATGAGGATGATGAGGATTCAGGAGATGTGATAATTTATACTGGGCATGGTGGACAGGACAAACATAACCGGCAGGCAATGCACCAAAAGTTAGAAAGTGGTAACTTGGCCATGGAGAGGAGCATGTATTATGGCTTGGAGGTAAGAGTCATTCGCGGTTTTAAGTATGAAGGTAGTGCTAGTGGTAAGGTTTATGTTTATGATGGATTATACAGGATAACTGACACTTGGTTTGATGTGGGGAAGTCAGGGTTTGGGGTTTACAAGTTCAAGCTTGTTAGGATTGAAAATCAGGTGGAAATGGGAAGTAGCCTAATGAAGTTTGCGAGAAATCTTAGGGTACGGCCACTGGAAGTGCGTCCTAAAGGTTACGTCACACTTGATTTATCTAGAAAAAAGGAGAATGTGCCGGTATTTTTCTTTAATGACATTGATGAAGATATTGGGCCAGTTTATCATGAGTATCTTATTACAACCATTTTCCCATCGTATGTGTATAATTATGGGAATGGGGCGGGATGTGAATGTACTGGGGGGTGTTCGGATAATTGCTTTTGTTTTAAGAAAAATGGGGGTGAGTTTGCCTATGATTCGAATGGGATTCTGGTGAGGGGAAAACCATTGATTTTTGAGTGTGGGCCTCATTGTCGTTGCCCTCCTAGTTGCCGTAATCGTGTGAGCCAAAAGGGGATTAAGAATCGGTTTGAAGTGTTTAGGTCTAGGGAGACACAATGGGGAGTGAGGTCATTGGACTTAATCCAAGCTGGCTCTTTTATTTGTGAGTATGCAGGAGTTGTTCTCACTCGTGAGCAAGCCCAGATTTTCACAATGAATGGTGATAGTTTGATTTATCCAAGTCGTTTCGGTGACAGATGGGCAGAGTGGGGGGATTTATCACAAATATTTTCTGACTATGTTCGACCATCATATCCACCAATTCCTCCTTTGGATTTTGCCATGGATGTATCAAGAATGAGGAATGTGGCATGTTACATGAGCCAGAGTTCAATTCCAAATGTTATGGTACAACCTGTGCTGTACGATCACAATAATGTATCTTTCCCCCACCTTATGTTATTTGCTACAGAGAATATTCCTCCTATGAAGGAGATTAGTCTTGATTATGGGGTTGCTGGTGCTGATGAATGGACGGGGAAGCTTGCTATCTGTAACTAGCTATTCTTGTTGTGTTGGCTCAATTTTGAATGAGGCTTGAGCAGCTTATTGGAACATCAACGTGATAAGGTAAATTCATCTTTCTATCGTTTGATAGTTAACCTCTCTGTTTTTAAATTATACAAATGTGTATAACTTATTCATGCACCATAGATTTGAGTCGGTCAATATGCATTCTGTAGTTTATTTTATTGGCTTTTTGTCTACTGGTTTCATTTATCTACTTTTAGGTGTTGTATGGTGATTTTCAGTGACCTTGTATGAAGTCCTTGACAATTCTTTACTGCTGAGAGTTATTTGCTGTTACCATACTACAAACATTTGCTAAATGGTAAGATCAAATGAATGCTCTCATGATCTTTAGACATGGTTACTTCATTGCTGTATTTTTTATTTCCAATGGGACCTAGCTGATGTTTCTGGTTAAATTTTATCTTGGGACAAATTATCGTGGGTATATTTTCTCAAGTGCTTTGGCTATCATTTAGATTATGCATTCTGAATGTTCTGGACCTGGTATGTCAATGCAATAAGATTTCTCCCTGGCTAATACTTCCACAATACTCTGTTTAACTATGCAACTAGTTGTATGAAAGTTGATCTTTCCATTTTATATTATGGTAAACACCATAAAAATTTGCAAGATTGTTGAATATCTAGCACACTAGCGCTAATAGATCGCCTTTTTGTGGACAATAGTCTATTCTGAAATCCTTTCTCCTCGTCTGTTTGTTTATTGAATCCTGTTTAATTATCACGACAGATATTAATTGCATTGAAATCTAGAGAGAATTTTATTCTTGTATCAAATTTATCTCCTATATGTCTTGACATATTTTGTTATATGAAGATTATCTTAGATTGCCGCACATATCCATCCAATCTATTATCAGATATTGTGTCGCATGTGTGTCGAATCTTATTTTGTGGTCTTGTCTTTCCAGCCGTATAGAACTTATGTTATCATTTACTACCCTGTTATACAACTGAGATCACTAAAGCTGCAGCCAGTATCATTTCTATGCCTTATTTAACTATTGATGTTATATTATTTTGGGAATAACCTAGAACATAACATTTATGGACATGAACCCTATTATATGTATGGGTACATGCATGTGCGTGCATGGTACACAAGTGCTCTTAACCTACTAAAAATAGCTATGATATTAGAAGTTGTGTGATTGCGCTCCTCTCTTTTTAGCAGTTTGAATTATACAATTCATCTAAACTAAAAGCTATTGAATTAAAAGAGTTTTCACTGACATAACTTTGTTTGCCAAACTGGCTGGAGTTTTGATGAATTCATTATCTGGGTCTTTTCTCTTTCTTCTCCTATAATTTGGAAATAAGATTTACAAATTCATATGAACTGAGACCTGCTTCTTAAGATCGTAACTTCTTAGTCTTCCCCTGCCTTGTTTTTGGGTTGAGCGGCGGAGGATGATGCTGTGTTGAAACAGAGCACTGTTGTGCATCTGCCTGGTGATTTCATAATATATTTTTGTTCTTTATATTCTGTAAGCATAATCGACGCTGCTTCATTATGAGACTGCCCATTTCTCTTTCTTTTCCCTTTCTTGTGAGAAAAAGAAACATTAGAGGAAAGTAATGGGCACACCATTGTCTTGGAGTTATGTGATTTTATATGTAAATGATCAACAGCTTTCATTCATTTTCTTACTGATCATGAAATTGTTAACTATATATTGATTTTATATGTAAATGATCAACGGCTTTCATTCATTTTCTTATTGATGACCACGAAATTGTTAACTATGTATTCTGTCTCTTTTCTTTTGTCATGAGAGTTAAGCGTGCAGGAATGCTAAATATTGACAACTTTAATGAGATGTTTTCTAATTAAATAAACTTTTCGTGTTTCACAAATTTCCAGAAATAAAGTTAGGATGTAAACTGTCATTTGCTGATGAAGTTTCCTCTTGCAGACGTAAAATGATTAAGTGTGCGGGATTCTTTTTTCCAGTTGACATAGACTAAATATATATGCCTAAATATGTTGCTCAGCCGCGATTCTGCAGGATGGAATCCCTTGCCATGCTTCTGAAGAAACTCTTAACGCCAGCAAGTTGAAGCGAAGAATGTGAGAAGTTGAAATTAAATTTGCATGAATGTATAAAATCTTGTTTTTAGCTATGTATATAACAGAATTAGATTTGGAAAAATTGTTGTACAGAAAATGTAGGTGCCTTGTTGGATGATTTCCAATTCCAAATCCTAATACCGTTCGTAATTTAAGTTTCTAAAATCTAATCTCTAACAGGTTATAGAGGGAATAACTTTGTTTTGTATGATATTGTGCTAAACAGTGCATATTTGGTGGGTAAAATTGAAGTGGTCGACAGTATTAAGGATAAAAAGAAAGTTAAAATTTGGTTTATTATTCTCTCCAGTCTGATTCAGATTCAGTATCATGTACCAAACATGCAATAAGTTAATCGGGAGTGGCCAATGATCCTTTCTCCCTTTGCGGTTCTAGTGGATGGACTAGCTAGCTGTGGTCTTGCCATTGTGAAATTGAGTTTATGAGGCTCTTGCCTGTGTGATTGTTTCATGTTCATGCGAGAGGATTGTTGCATGGTCACATACATTGTACTACTGTTAGTTGTGTCTAGTACTGAATCTTTTTGCTTAGACTTGTTCATTGTACTACTGTTTTAATCGTGTCTAGTACTGAAATTTGTTGCTTAGGCTCATTGTACTACTGTTTGTCTTGTCATAGTACTGGATTATGCTACTTGGTCTTGTTCACTAGAATAATACTCCTTAGCCAGGGTTAATGACGGGAGGTGAGGTGACAAGGTGTTGTGGCAAGGTGGGATTTGGTGTTTTGTGTGTGTGTGTGTGTGTGTTTTTTTTCAAATTGTCTAATTTATTGACACGTGTCATTTCTGTCATTGAGTCTTTCATCGACTCTATCATTGTAGCAAGGTTGTGTTCATTATGCTAATATTTGTTGCGTCTAGTACAGAATTTTGTGCGTGTGGCACGTGGTGTTTACAATTTGTTTTTTCTTTGCAATTCTGATTCTCATATGTAAAGTATTTCATTTCAGAGTAGCCGGGCACTTTTCTAGGCTTCTAGCTATAAATTTAATTGGCTATTATTTCATAAGGAATCATACATAAATCCTATATATAAGAATTATATTTGAAAAATAACAAATTTCAAAAATCTTTTCAAAAATCAGGTGTTAAATCAATTAATTTAATATTTTTAATTATAATATAATATAATTATCCAAATTTATTAAATTTTAAAATTAAAATATTCTATATCTCTGCTCTTTATCGTCTCCCTACCCCTTCTCTCCATCGGATGCTGTTATTTACTTCAGAGGCCGCTCTGGTGACAGTTTCGACGGTCGTTTTGACGACTATGCGAACAATCACTCCGCCGCTCTCTTTGATGGCTATTCACGATCCCTCTGGCAAATTGATCCAATGACCACTTCAACGCATGCTCTGATCAACCTACCAACTCCATCTGCCCATTCTCAACTTCCAAAATTTTTTCAGAATTTCAAGTTACAATTGGTCACAACGAGTCATAATTAACTGATCACAAACGATCACAATAAACTACCCGATAGTCAAATCGCGATCTGGTCGTAAAACAGAAAAGGTTGCAGCCTTTTTATTCTGTAGCGGCACTGACTACGCGTCCACCACCACCAACACATCAATCCAGTCGTCCTTACACACACAACCATCACCATCTCGACCTTAATGTTGTTTCTAGGAAGTTGATGAGCTTGTTTAATTTCAAAAATTAAATAAACTCTGCCGACAGAGAATCCCAAGGATAAGAGCTCCACCGATCCAGCACTAGAACTTTCGGCTACCGCATCCGTCACGAACAAAACTACCAACAAAATCACCATTTTCACTACAAAACCACATCCAAAGCTGCTGTCACACGACCATCACCACAAAAAATTAAACTCCAACTTGTTTAGAGAGTAAACTTCCCAAATGGAGACAAGATCTGAAGGGCTGAGTTTGTACTCTATACAAAAAGTCAGACCTGAAAAAGAAAAGGATTATATGAGTAACAGTCGTAGTATATTTGGGGTATTTTCGAAAAGAAAAGTTGAGAAACAACAAATATCTCACATTGCTTGCAAATTTCTTCCTCGTCATCGAGAATGAACCGACTAGAAGTCAACTCTACCACAACCGCCATTTCTACTTGCACAAAGACCATCATCACCACCCACAAACAACTACCAACAACCAAATCGACACGATCCGAAATCACCACCAATATCTATAGCTGCGACAATCGACGTCGCACTCTCAGATTGTGGCGTTGCTTGGAATCACTACCCAATCGCCCAACGTTGCAGCGGCGATGTGATCGCCGGTGCTCATCGCTTGTCGAGACACTGATTGTACAACGCTGTCTGAAATCACCACCAAATTGCGCGTCGGTGCAGCAGCGACCCTCTCTGAGAGTTGATTATGTCGTCGGTTTGTCAGAGTTGGTGTAGATGATAGAGAGAGAAAGGGGGGGAGGGGGGTACTGGCCGATTTGGGAATGAATGGGGGGTGGGGGATGAAATATGTAGATTTAAAATTTATTAAAATTTTATTAATTACAATTAATAATCATATTTTCCACCTGATTTTTGAATTGTAAATTTTATTCCATTATTTTTTTGAAAAGAAGGGTTTCAGATAATTTTCTCTATTTCATATGCATAAACTACAAAAATTACTTATCTAGCACTTATTTCTATTTGCATAATTTGGACACTTTATAAACACTTTTTTAAACATGAATATTTATTTTATATGGAAAAATAAATTAAAAATAGCATGGCCCGAAAGTGAGTTAGGTACAACATAAATCACATTTACAAATAGATTTGACCACGAACAAACAAGAAATCGAAACCAGGCAGTGGCGGTATAAAGTTTTTCACAGGGGCCAGGGATCGGGTCAAAATATATTGGACGTGCAAAATATTTATATGGGAAAAATTCATAAATGAGGTGTTTAGTTCACACCAATTCAAAAATCATCTTTATACTTTGAAAATTCAAAATTCAGGTTTTTTTTTTCCTAATATAATATAATAAACCCACCCCACATGCACCACCCCTACAGTTCCGGGGACTATTCCGGCGATCATTCTGACCACCACTCTTCTCCGGCGACTGCTCTGATTCCGGCAATTATTCCGACGACTATTCCGGTGATCATTTTGGTCACAGATTTACAATTTAAGGTCACAGTTCAAAAATTTTATAGGTCACATTAATTAGTTGGTCACAGATTTCAAAATTAGCTGGTCACATACCAAAGTTTATTGGTCACACAGTCACATATTTCCAAATTAATTGGTCACAGATTTCCAAATTATAGGTCACAGTTTATTTTATTGGTCACAAATAAAAAAAATTGCAGGTCACAATTTATCTATTGGTCACAGGTTTCCAGATTTGTAGGTCACAAATTATTTTTCAAGTCACAGGTTATCAAATTTAGCGTCACAGGTTAATACTTGGTCACATGTAACCAAGTAATTGGTTACATACACCAAATAGTGGTCACACACCACCGTCCTCAACACTACCGCCACCGCCTCCACTCGTCTTCGCTGCTGCGAAATCCACCACCACCATGACAGCACCAACACAAACACCACATCACCACCACGAAGCAACACCACTGTCACCACAACGCAATACAACCACCACTGTCGCCACGACGCAACACAACCACCACCGTCAACACCTACACCTGCACCACCACATAAAAATCACAGCCAGATCCACCATCGCCAACACCATCACCACCTCACCATCACCGCCAGTAGCTCCACCACCACATACATCGCCGCTGCATCCTGCTCCAACAACCACCCACCACCACCTTCAATCAACCACAACGCCACCGCCGCCTGCTAAAATCCACCATCTCTCTCAACACTACCACACCACAGCCACTGCTGCCTGCTAAAACATCAAGTCCGCCACCGCAACCAACATCACCACCACCTCTTCTTGTGACCACAACCACCAGTTGTACCAAAAAATCTCCAATCGCCGCCGCCACCAAACTGCACGATACCATCGCCCACATCAACGATTCACCACAACCTCCTCAGATCGGAAAGATAAAGAAAAAAACCCCAAACCCCGCGCCGAAGGACTGCAGCATCTCGAAACTGCGTTTGTAGCAGAGTCACAATACTGCGTTGTCGGATTGCAAAAATCATTTGTCGCCTGAGTGAGTGAACGTTGCCGACTAGGAGATCGAAGAACCCAAATGGAGATCGAAGAGCGATGGAGCCAACGAGTGAGGTTGCTTCAGAGGAGTAGAGAGCGAAAAGATAAACAGAATTGTCGTCGATGTGGTTGCTTCAGAGAGTCGTCGCCGTCATGAACGCCGCCGACGGTTGCGATGGAACCGGTGGTGCTTGTGATAGAGAGACGAGAGAATACAGAGAGAGAAGGAAGAGGGTAGAGAGAGAAGAGTGAGATGAAAAATGTTAGGGTTTGTATTATATTGGTACCTGATTTGTGAATAATGAAACTTCAACCCTGAATTTTGAATTGTTATCTTCAAATGCTTGGAATTATGTAATTTTTCCTATTTATATTCTAAAATCTACACACAAGCCTAGAATAAAATAGAGAAAAAATTATATGTGTCATATTGGTTCATGTGGGTTCGCCATTTTTGTGTCCATTTTTTTTATTATGATTGAGAATGTATGGTTAAAAAATAAAGAGAAGTTTTGGATTTACGTGTAATATTATTTTATTGAAAAATATGTGACTGAAAATAAGAAAGAAAAAAATGTATTTTGAAAATAATAGGGATCAAACAAAAGCATAGTATTCCCGAAATATGAATACTCATTATTACTTCCTCCCGCTATTTAATTGATATGCATTATTCGTTCATGTCTGAGTTCTAATTAAATAGCGGGTCTTGATTATATGATACACATGTAAATTAAATTGTGG